CTCCCTTCAGCGATGGCGCAGCAAGGGGTCCCCTCGGAGGGGCGGCTGGGTGGCAGCTGAGGGGGCACCAGGGAGGCCTGCTGGGCAAAGAAGGGGGTGCCAAGGGTCTCTTCCCTCCAGTTTCCCCAGTGGGGTCCAGGGCCGCGTCGTCTTGTGCCTGAAAACCATCCGCCTGATGGTTCTGGTTTGTTCACGGATCGGACCCGAGATGGCGCAGCAACACCTGCGCAACACCCTCCGGGGCTTCTTCGAGAGCTTCTCCTTGCGGCCTTTGGAGTCCGTGAGTCCCCTGGGGAGGGGAGGGTCTGGGATGGGGGGGCAGGGATGCTCAGTGCCCAGCCGGACCTTCTTTCGGTGTGCCTCTGGGATTCTGCTGGGGGGGTCGGAGGGGCTCCTGGAGCTGTCCAGTCTGGGTGGCGTGGCTGGACGGCAGCTGCCCCTGGAATGAGCTGGGGGCGCCCTTGAGCTCCTCCCCCAGGGCCCCTGGTCTGAGAGGGCAAGTGGCCAGCCGTTTCTTTCTGCCTGTCTGCAGGGCCAGCCGCCGTCTCTGGACCCCTCGGCTCTTCCGGAGTTCCAGAAAGTGTTCGGCCCAGAAATGGCCTACGCTGCCTTTGTGCCCTTCTCCTCCCTGCTGGGTGAGACCCCCACCCCCGTTCCTGCCCCTCACCTCTCCCGTGCCACCCCACCCCCCGCAAGAGAGGGAGGCTGGGCGTTCCTGTCAGTTGGGGTGCAGGGATCTTCTCAGGGCTTTTTGCGATAATTACCCTCTCCCCATTTTGGGCTCCTGAGCTCGGGGACTCAGCAGGACTCCCCTTTCTCAGCTGTTTTCTCCCCTCCCGGCAGGCGACGCCTTTCACACGATTGTGCTGAACCACGCAGCGGTCAGGCAGCTGGCCAGCCTTCACCTGGAGCAGGCCAGTCCCTCGTCTGAAAGGCAGGCGGCCACTGGGCCAGGCCGGGCCCCCTCGGAGCAGGAGGCGCTGGCAGCCGAGCCCTCCTCCGCCCTGCCCGAGGACCCGCGATCGGGCACCTTCGGGGGGGTGCTGGTGGGCAACCGGATTCAGGTGAATTCTGAAGCCCAGCAGGAACCCCCGGGCGGGGGCGGGGGGCCCCTCTGCCCCAAGCTGGGGGGCCAGGAAGGAGATACGCTGAAGCAGGAACTGCGGCCCAGCGCCCGTCTCCTCCTGGGCAACTGGCTGGCTTACTGGCAGTACGAGATCGGGGTTGGCCAGCACGAGGCCCCCTTCCACTTCCACCAGATCAAGCTGCAGAGCTTCGTGGGCCACGGTGGCGCCATCAAGTGCCTGGCCCCCCTGAGCGGGGAGGACTTCTTCCTGAGCGGCAGCAAGGACAAGACCGTGCGCCTGTGGCCCCTCTACAACCGGGGGGACGGTAGCCACGAGGCCAAGCCCCGGCTGACCTACGACCGGCACAAGAAGTCCGTCTTCTACGTCGGCCTGCTGGAGGCCTCGCAGCACGTGGTCAGCTGCGACGGCACCATCCACATCTGGGACGCCCCCACAGGTAGGCAGATGGCCTGGACAGACCCCGCGGTGCTTGGCCCAGGGCCTGGGGGGGGGGGCTTCTTTCTGTGACCCTCCTGGCCTGTCCCTGGCAGAGAGAGTCTCCCTGAGGCTCCAGGCTGCGGGGTCTGCCCCCCCCTCTTGGGGCCCGCAACTGGTGCCCTGGTTGGGTTGACTCCTCTGAGCGGTGGGGCCCCTTCCTTCCTGAGCCGGAGGAAAGCAGCCCCCTCTGGACCCTCTGGCCGGGAGGCCCGCTCAGGAGAGGGGGGGTTGGCGGGGGGCCCTGCCCGCTGCACGGCCAAAGGGGCTCTCAGGCCTGCAGGACTCCTCCGCCCCCCCCCCCCGAGGCTTTTCATTCTTGCAGAAAGACGCTTTGGGGGGGACTCGGAGGCCCTTCTCACTGTGCCTGCCCCACAGCCCCTCTTTGGTGTGGGCCGGGGCATTGGGGAGTGGGCTAAGGGCCCCTCCCCCAAGGCCTGGGCCCCCCCTCCCTCAGCCGGTCTCTTCTGCAGGCAGTGGGCTGCGCAGCTTCGAAGCGCTGGACTCCAAGGCACCCATCACAGCCCTCTGCCCCATGCCGGCCCCCTACGGCAGCATCAGCATCGCCAGCGCGGACTCGGTGCTCCGCTTCATCGACCACCGGAAGCCCGGCTGGCAGGTAGTGCTTGGGAGTACTGGAGCCCCCCCCCTTTCTTGCTGAGGAGGGTCTTCATGGGGGGGTGACCCACCACCCTCTCTCCCCTCTCGGCTCTGCAGCAGGAATTCCGGCTGGCCAGCGGGCCCAACGCCGGGCTCATCCGCTGCCTGGCTGTCAGTCCTAGCGGGCGCAGCGTGGCAGCCGGCTTCTCCTCTGGCTTCATGGTCCTTCTGGACACCCGGACAGGCCTGATCCAGAAAGCTTGGTCAGCCCACGAGGGAGACATCCTGCAGGTCAAGGTGAGCGGGTGGGCGTAGGCCCTCCCAGGCCCGGTCCTGCTCCTGGCTCGGTCCTGCCCCGGCTCCTGTGCCGGTCATCGCTTGGCCAAGGGGCTGTCACCTCCCCTGGACTGACCGGTGGGGTTGGCTCCATGGGCGGAAGAGCAGGGGCCCCACGGAGCCTGCAGCCCCCTCTGGTCTCAGCACTGGCCGGTTGGGGGTGGGCATTGCCCTCTAGCAGGCTCCCCCCCATGGCCTCACCTTCCACCCTGGAGAGGGGCAAAGAAGGGCTGTGGCCCCACTCCCGGGCCCTCCCACCGCTGGGTCGGTGCTCACGGGCTGCTTCCCTCTCCCGGGTAGGCCACAGAGGGCAACGTGCTGGTCAGCTCCTCCTCTGACCACTCGCTGACCATCTGGAAAGACCTGGAGCCGAAGCCCCTGCAGGTGTACAAATCGACCTCGGAGCCCGTCCACACCTTCGACCTCTACGGCCACGAGGTGGTGGCCGGCACGGTGGCCAACAGAATCAGCGTCTACGCCTTCCAGGGTCCCTCGACAACCGGCCCCACCAAGCTGAGCTCCGAGAACTTCCGGGGGACCCTCACCAGCTTGGCCCTCCTTCCCACCAAGTGCCACCTGCTGCTGGGCTCGGACAACGGCACTGTCCGGCTGCTGGCGTAGCCCCTGCGTCTGAAGCGGAGAGGGACAGTTGTGGATGCCCAACGGCCCTGGGGGGGGGGGACCGGAAGGTCTGGGACGCCCCCCCCTCCCCCCGTAGTCCTGCTGCAGGGCAGCCCAAGCCACCCCCAGCATCCTCCATCACCGTATGTGCCTGATGCTCCCTGGAGACTGGCAGAGATGCCCCCGGATGCCTGGGGAAGGGGGGCCGTGCCCTTCTCCCCTAAGAGAGGGAAGAGCGGCCGACCCCACGGCCTTTGCGGGGTCGGACAGGACTTCTCCCTCCACTGCTTCCTCTCCCCCGACTTGCCCTTTGGGGAAGGGGCTTCTGGGCAGGGAGGACCCAACTCCTCCCATGGTTGGACAAGAGCAGGAAGCCCCCCCACCCACCCCCGCCCCCCTTTGCCAAGGAGCCCCCTCCAACCCCTGATCCTTCTCCCCAGAAACGCCTTGGCTGCACACTGAATCTTTCGGTCTGTAGGGGGGTCGTCCCCCCTTGAAGGTGTGCTAGAAATGCATTTAGTTTCCCCCCCCCCCCCCCCCCCCCCCCACCCCCCGGGGCAGCCCAGTCCAGCACTTTGTTCCCTGCAACTGGGGGAGGGAGGGGGGGCTGGGGGGGGTGTTCTCAGTGTTGATTGAACGATTTGCAAGGAATAAACCTCCGGAGAAGCTGGGACGCTCCATGACTTCTTGCTGAGCAAGTGGGGAGCAGAGAAATGGCAGAGCTGCCGCCTTTCTGGCCCCCCTATTTTTCACCCTCCCCCCTCCCATCGGCAAGGGTGAGGCAGAAGCCCCCCCTCCCACGGGGAACCGGATTTGAGGCTACGCTGGCCTGGCCTGGCCGACTGCCGGCCCTTCCTCCGCTGAGAGGGACGGGCCTCCCGAGCCCCTGTGGGGAAGGGGCCGCCCGGGGTCTGCCGTGTGGGGGGCCAGCCTGGCCGGGGACTGAGGTGACTGAGCGTCCCAGGGCAGAGTTTGGTCACTCCCATTGGTTGGCGTTGTCAGCAGCCGCAGCGTCCAGGGCTCACATGGCCACTCGCTTTGCAACGTCAGCGGTGAGCCTGGATCTGCTTCACACCTGCACGATTCATTTAGCAACTGCTGTGGTTCGCTTAACAACCTGGCAAAAAGGTCGTAAAATAGGGCAGGAGCCACTTATCAGCTGCCTTGCTTAGCGGAGGAAATTTTGCTCCCGATTCCTGTAAGCCAAGGACTTCCTGGGTGTGGAAGTGGGTCACGCCCCCCCCCTTGCCGGACACGAGAGTCCAAGGGGGGAATTGTGGGGGGGCTTCTTCCCTCCCCTCCCCCGGGGGTTGGAGCGGCTGGCTAATCAAGGGAGGTTCACTCCTGGGTGGGCCCGATCCTGCCTTCTCAGGCAAAGCTCAGGGGGGGGTCTTCTGCCTCCCCCCCCCCCCCCCCCCCCCGCAGCTCAGAGCTAGCCAAGGAGCTCCTGTCTGTTGCTGGGGAGGGGGTGTAGATGTGGCCTGAGTGCCCCAGAGGGGATCCCAGGCAGCTGCAGCCCCTGGCTGGCTCACCTGCCCTGGGAGGGGGGAGGGGCTGGGGGGGGCCTGTGCAGGGGAGGGGGAGGGGGAGGCGGGGCTATTGGGAGGTGTGTTTTCTCCCCACCTGCTCAGAGGGGCTCATGAGGGGCTAAACCTGCAGGAGCAGGTGGGGGCTGGGGAGGGGGCTTCCTCTAGGGCCCAGGGCTGGTGCCCGCCCCCCCCCCCCGCAAAGGGGGGGGGCTGGGGGGGGTCGCCTTGCTCCCTGGACCTGAGGTTATTCTGAACAAATGTTTAACTGGATACCGAGAGTCAATATTTGCCTGCGGGGGTGGGGGCGAGGAAGTGGGGGCGTTCCTCCTCGGGCTGGGGCCCCTTCCAGAGCTGTGGGGAAAAGCTGCTCACGGAAGGAGACCAGGTAGGGGGCGGCAAGAGGGGGGGGCAGGCCGGGGGGGGGGGGCGGGGGAATTCTGCCCTTTCTTGGCGGTGTGGAAGCCACTCCTGTGTTTTGGTGACGGATCTGGGTGGGGGAGGCTGGTGCTCCCCTCCCCCCCAGGAAATGCGGCACTTCCCCTCCAACTTCAGGGAGGGGACAGGGACAACGAGAAGCCAGGCTACTTGCAGGCAGTGCCACTTGGTGCCGGGGCCCTGCAGGCGAAGGGGGGGGGAAGCAAGCACCTCAGTTTGGCCCCCGACGGCCCCCAAAGCGCCCCAGGTCAGCGCAGCCTCTTCCCTCCCACAGCGCCCCCCCCCCTCGCGCTTCCTGATGGCTCTGCTGCTCTGGGCGCTGCTGGCCTCCTGCCTGCCTGCTGTGTGTGCTGGCCAAGACCAGGTGAGTTGCCACTCGCTTCCCTCTGAGAAACCTCCTGTGTGTGGGGGGGGGCGGGCGGCAGCCACCCCTGCCCAGGTCTGGGATCGAATCCTGGCCCCTCCTGGAAAGAAGGCCTCTATGGCTAGTAGCTGAGAGACCCGTGGTCTCCCTCCCACAGGCTGCCGTGGTCAGGCTGGTGGCCGAGGGGGACATGGGCAGCGTTGTTCCACTTACACCGTTGGTGTGCCCCCCCCCGTGAGTCTCCCCCCAAAGTGGCTCTGCCAGCCTCCGTAGCCCGTTTTTGGGTGCCACCTCCTGCCGAGGGAGAGCCGGAGCAGCCGGGGGCAAGAGGCTGACCGAGGCCTTTTCTTTCAGGCCACTTCTGTGCAGGACGTGCGCTGGGATGAAGGTGCCCAGAGGAAAACCCTGCTGGTAAGGAGGGAGCCCACTCAGGCCGTCTGGGTGCCTGTGTGCGCATAGCCGATGAAGCAGGTTCAAATCCTGCTTTCCCAACCTGCAAGGACGCACGGAGGTCAGCGAGGGGGCAAAGCCCGACAGTTCAGCACCGAGGGCCTTGGCTGGCCGGCCTGTGTGAGGGTCTCGCAGGGCCCCCAGAGCGGGGAGGCCCACTTGGGGCAGAGGCAGGGAGAAGCAGGCCTGGCGCAGGGGAATGTGCCAGCTCTGGGGGCAAAGGTGAAACTCCAGAAGAGCAGCCTCAGGGGGCACCGGCCCAAACGGTGTGCGAAGGGCAGCTGGGAGAGGAAACGGCGGGGGGGGGGGCTCCCTTTGTAGGCCAAGCACAGGCCCTGGACGTACGTCCTCCCTCCCTCGGCTGGGCAGGCAGTTCCCAGAGTCCGCGGCTGCCAGTCCAGGGCAGCGGCAGAGGGTCTTGGAAGCAGGCTGGGGAAGAGCTGGGATCAAAGCAGAGCAGCTAGGATGCCGAAAGGGCCGGAGACAGCAGCAAAGGAAGGAATGGCGGTGGGAACTGGGTACGGCCAGTCTGGAGCAAAGAAGGAGTAGGGGGCCCACGGTAGCTGCATCCCAGTATCTGAGGGGCTGCCCCAGAGAAGAGGAGGGGGGTGGGGGGGTCAAGCTCTTCTCCAAAGCCCCTGAAGGCAGGACGAGAAGCAACGGATGGAAACTGACCAAGGAGAGGAGCAACCTGGAATGAAGGAGAACAGGGAGGACAATTAACCAGGGGAACTGCTGGCCACCAGGAGTTGTGGGGGCTCCAACCCTGGAGGCTTTTAAGAAGAAATTGGACAACCGTTTGTCTGAAATGGTAGAGGGCCTGCTGCTTGAGCAAGGGGTTGGACTAGAAGACCTCCAGGGTCCCTTCCAGCTCGATTCTGGATAATCTGGCCTGAGTCCCTCCACGGGGCAGGATCCGTTGGTGTTTCTCCCTTGAGGCCGGCTGTCCAGAGGGCTGTTCCAGAGGGGTCTCCTTCCCCTTGAAGGGTGTTGATCGCTGGGGAGGGGACCTGCCCACCCAGGGGAGCCAAGGTTAGCACAAGCATTGATAACGAACCAGCCATCCAGAAGTAAACAATTCCCCCGTCAGGGAGCTGCGAACTGAACTTGACCAATGCCAAGAACCCAACCCCCAACGCCGACACTGCTAGAGCGCCACAGAGCAAACCGCCCCCCTCCCAGCACTGATGAGGCTGCCTAGTTGGGCAGTGAAATGTCTGCCAGAAAGCAACCAAATCTGACTTCCTGACCTCTGGGCTGCGCCTGGAAACAGGCGGTTGGGGCCTTCCAGGGCACGGGGCAGTAGCCTGCCAAAGGAGCCTGCCTTGAACCCAGGGCTCCTGGCAGGACATTCTCCTCTCCCTCCCCGCTTGCAGGTCCAGCCGGCGGAGATCCCGTCTGGAGAACCCACGTCCCAGGAGGCCCTTCAGGACCCCACAAAGTTGCCTCCCCACTTTCCAGACAAAGGGAATGGCCAGAGGGGGCCGGGGGGGCTCCCCAATTCTCTCGAGGAGGAGGAGGAGGAGGAAGGCTGCCGGGACCGGGACCTCTCGGGAAGCGTGGGCCAGATCGCCTCGGCCATGAGGGCCCTGGGGGTGGACCTCCTGCGGGAGGTGGAAGCGGAGGACGGCAGCGGCAACACCCTCTTCTCACCCCTGAGCATCAGCCTGGCCCTTGCCCACCTGGCTCTAGGTAACACCGCCCAGGGAAGACCCTTCGGGGGGGGGGTAGAGCATCCTGCAGAGGGGCAGCTGGCCTCCCCCTCCCCCCTCGCTGCTCCCAGCTGCCCCATTTGTTCTGGCCACTAGGGCAGAGACGGCCCTGCTGGACCGAAAGGAGATCGAAGGGCCTCGACCTGTGGGAGACTCCCCAGGAATGAACGGGGTGGGGGGGATGCCCTGCAGCCCAGCCCCACTGCCCAGAGACTGCCAGCCCCCTCCGGTCCAAGGAGCTCCCCTGGGGAGGGCTCCTAAGGGCTGCCCCCCCCCCCCCGATTCCTCCAGCCGGGGCTTCCCCGGCCCAAAGTGAGCCTGGCTCGTTTCAGGGGCCGCCAACCAGACCCAGAAGCAGCTCCTGGAGGCCCTGCACATGGACTCGGTGCCCTGCCTGCACCAGGCGCTGCGGCGGGTCACCCAGCACCTCCACCAGACGGCCCTCAGCATAGCCGGCCGCCTCTTCCTGGAGAAAGGTGAGCCCTCCCTGTGGGCAGTAGCCATTCCTGCCTCTGGGCGCCCCCCTCCCTCCAGAGGAGAGGGGGAGGGGCTGCCACCGTCCTTTCCCTTGCAATCTTTGCCCCAGGAGGAGAGCGGGGGGTGGGGTTGTGCCACTGGACCTTGGCAAGGTGGCCCAAGGCACGCCCATCCCCTTCACCTGCCCAGGGTGCCAGCGGATGGAGGTCCAGAGGCCTCTTCTGGTGCCAGGCCGCCTGGGCTGGCACTGGGACCCTTCAGGCTCTGGGCAAGAAATGGCACTTCATCTGCTGGGCCGTTTCCACGGCTCGTCTGCAGTGGCTTAATTCAACTGGAGACCGAAAGGGCCGCCTAGGTCTGCTAAGAAGGCAAAAGGGATGGTTCTCCCCCCCCCACCGTCTCCTCTTTACACCGCTCAGTTTCCCCGTCAGGTTCAGGCTACAATCCGGGTACCAAATGACGGGTTGCCCTCCTTCCGTGGAGGAGGACGTGGCGGCCAGGATCTCCCGGGAAGGCCGTTCTTGGGAGAAGCCACCTTCGTCCTTCTCTTTGGAAAAGTATTTTTTCCTGCTGAAAGAGCCAAATTATTTGACCCGTGGCTGCCTAGGAGACGTTTATTAGACACAAGCAAAGGCTACTCCAGCACAACGGCCCCCTCCCCTTTCTGGGCCTGACTCCCGTGTCGCCTCCATCCCAGGCGTCCCCATCAAGGAGAAGTTCCTGGAGGCGTCCCAGAGGTTCTACGGAACCAAGCCCGCCCTCCTTTCCGGGAACAGCCAGGCTGACCTGGAGGCCATCAACAGGTGGGTGGAAGAAGCCACCCACGGCCGGATCTCCACCATGCTCACCGAGCTGCCCGCCAACACCGTGATGGTCCTTCTCAACGCCGTCTTCTTCCGGGGTGAGTCTCCTTCCTGGCTGGCGGTTTGGGAAGCCACCCTGGGACGTCGCTGGGTTTCTTCCAAGCGGGGCCGGGATCTGGAGACCTTCGGCTCTGAGGGCGAGGAAGACGGCCGGCCTTTTGCCCCCTGATGTCCTTTCTGTTGTGGACCAGGGTTCTGGAGGACCAAGTTCAACCCGCTGCTGACGGAACTCAGCCTGTTCCATCTGGACGAGGAATCTGCCGTCTCCGTGGAGATGATGAAGGAATGGGACTTCCCCCTCAGCTGGTTCAGCACGGCATCCTGGGAGGTCGAGGTAGAGGGCGGGGTGGGCGGGTGGGCGGGGTGGGGAGGGGAGCCCCTTGTCCCCTGCCCCAAGGATTAGCCAGAAATAGACTTTACTATGAAGCCAAAGTGGTTACAGAAGAAGCAAGGCTGGACCTGACCTTTACAGGTGGCAAAGATACCGTTAACCTGGCCAATCCCCTGGTTGTCGGTCAGGGTTCCAGTTCAGGGTTGGGAAATGGTTTGGGGGGGCCGTGAGAGGGCTGGGGTTTCCCCTCCCCCTCCCTTAACTGGGGTCAGGCTCTCGGCTTGCCCTCCGTAGCTCAGGGGAATGGCAGCCGCCACACGGGGGCTTTTGCTCTTACTTGCCCTGCCTGGAGGCGGCGGCGGCCGGGGGGGGGGGGCTCCTGCGAGAGAGGAAGAGGCTCCCGTGATTGTGCCAGCCTGGCAGTGGAGGGTCCTGCCCTTCTCGGACCCCCCTCCCTCCGCTCTTTCCCCCAGGTTGCCAAGTTCCCCTTTAAAGGCAACACCTCCTTCGTGGCCATCGTCCCGGACCTCCCCCTGCGGAAGAACTTCTCCCAGGTCCTCTCCGAGGTCCTCCACCTCGACCTGGACAAGGCCTTCCCCCAGGAGAGGTCCACCAAGGTGAAGGTGCCGAAGCTGCACCTGGAGGACTATGTGGACCTCAACGGGGCCTTAACTCGGCTAGGTGAGAGGCGCCCAGGAGGGGGGGGGCGGAGGCCGGCCTGCCACACACACACACACGTACACACGCACGCGCACGCACGCGGGAGCTTCTTCCTGCTCTTGCTGCTGAGCAGAGGTTCTACTTGGCCTTCACCCAGAGCTGTTTCCTCCCCCTCCCCCTGGCTCCAAGCACTCTGTCCAAAAGAAGACCCTGAGCAGGTAGGCTCTGCGGGGGAAGCCCCATTGGGGTCCCTCCGAGCACCTCCAGCCTGGAGAGGCTGCAAGAGGCGGGGGGGCCTCTCCCGACAGGCTGCCCAGCCCCGCAGCAGAGCCCGAGGGGCAACCCCCGCCCCCGCCCCCAGCCACGGGAAAGCGCCTGCTGGCTCTTCAGTTGTGGTTTCCTCTCTTCCCTCCAGGCCTCGGGGATCTCTTTTCTGCCCCAGACCTCCACCACATCGCCGAGGGGCCCCTGGTGGTCTCCAGCATCCAGCACCGAGCCACCCTGGAGCTGGCTGAGGCCGGAGTGCAGGCGGCCGCAGCCACCAGCGTGATCGCCTCGCGCTCGATCTCGTCTTTCTCCCTCGACCGGCCCTTCGTCTTCATGATCACGGAGGACGTGATGGGCATCCCGCTCTTCCTGGGCACCGTCCGGAATCCCAGCCCCGGGGCTCCCCGGGAGAAGACGGGCCAGGACCCCGCCAGTGAGAAGGAAATCCTGCCTGTCGATCCCTGAAGGGCCACAGAGCTGCCCCCCCCCCATTCCCAGACAGTCCGGCCTTCCAGAAGACCCCTCCAAATGGCTGCCCACCCAAAGCGCATCACCCTCCCAGCTGGGGTCTCCGGAAGGGGCCAGATCTATCCCAATCTTGAAACTGAGGGGGGGGCTCCCTCGGCCATCCGTGGGTCCTGGAGT